CACTTAGTTAAGGGGTTTTATTCCCTCCCTAACTTCAGGGGAAAATCCCTACCTGGGGAAACAACCTTTCTCGGAGAGGTGACCTTGGTTAAAACACAGCGCCAAGAAGGTGAGAAAACATATTAAGAACAGTATGCCATATATGCCAGGTCCCTTGAAACAGCAAGGATGGACTGGCTCCCGGCACTCTCTGAAATCAATAGAAATAGAAATGTTTTTTAAAAATTTAAGGTGTACATTATGTTTTAATATGTGTATACATTGTGAAATGACCACAGTCAAGCTAATTAACAAATCCATCACCTCACCTAGTTACCTTTTTTCTGTGTGTGTGGTGGGAACACTTAAGATTTACTCCCTTAGCAAACTTCAAGTATACAGTACGGAATTAACTAGTCACCATGCTGTACATTAGATTTCCAGAATTTATTCTCTGACATAACCGAACCTTTGTACTCTTTTACCAAACACAACCTAAATGCTGACTGATGAATGGATACAGAAAATGTGGTGTATGTACACACACACAATAGAATACTAGTCTTACAAAAGAAGGAACTTTTGCCATTTGCGACAACACAGATGAACTTGGAGGGCGTAATGCTAAATGAAATAAACCACACACAAAAGACAAATACTGCATGATCTCACTTGTATGTTGACTCTATTTAACTTGTAGAGGCAGGGAGAAGAACAGTGGTTGCCAGGGGTTGGGGGTGGGCAACGTGTGCAAATGGGAACACTGCCTTGTCATTTGCGGCGAGTGGTCAAATGCCACTTGTCCATTATATGCCAGTCATGACCTTTCTCTGGGGTACGGTCTCATTCTTATGGGCTGAATGGTGTCCCCCTAAAATACATATCAGAATCTCAGAATGTAAGTGCATTGGAAGATAAGGTCTTTAAAGGATGGTAATTACATGAAGTCTTTAGAGTGGGCCCCAATTCATTATCACCGGTGTTCTTATGAAAGGAAATTTGGATAGAGACACGTGACTGACGAAGGTAAAATACAGCTTTGGGGTAGAACCATGTGTTCTGCATTGGAGTCGGACTCTGGTTTCCATTTTGCATTAGTCATTAACTCTCTGTTCTAGTATTTTCCATATTAAAACCAACCAACTCACCCCAACTCACCCCATTTCAACATCTCCCCTGGCTGCTCCTTCCTGTTTCTATCCTTTTGCAGGAAGGTCAAAGGTTGTCTGTAGTCACTCCCGCTGCCCTGACTCTGCCGCGCCTGCACTCCCTCCCTTCTGCTAGGACACTCTCCCCACGCTCCACATGGTCCTGCGGCCTGTCCCCACGTCCCTTGTGGCTTCTTCGTCCTTATCTTTTTCGATGTCTCAGCAGCCTGCAGCTCACTTTACTCCCTTTTACTCGGAATGATTTCTTCTCTTGGCTTCCCCTACAGACATCGCCCCTTCTGGATCTCTATCTCACGCCTTGGCCTCCTTCTCAAGCTGCTTTTCTGATTCCAACTCTTCCTCTCAAGTTTAGATGGAGGATGTCCCAAACCAGTTGGGGTGTTTCTCTCATTGGCTACAGTAAGTCCATGGCTGAGAAGCGTCATCCTCCGCAGAGGGCGCCTCAGTCAGTGTTTCCGCCTGAACTGCCCTTGAGCCCCAGGCTCACGCAGCCCCTGCTGATGCTAGGCCTCTTGGACATCCCATGTCATCGCAAACTCATCAAAAATAGAATTTTGCCTTTCCCCCCTCCAGCCACAGAGGATAATTACACACTCAGACCTGCCAAACCCACTGGCAGTTCTGGGCCATTGCACTTCGGTTCCCTCGGCCTGGAAGTTTCTTCTCCCTGACCTTCGCTCTCAGCCTCTGCCTGATGGTCAGGGCTCAGATCTCGTCGCTCCTTCTGAGAGGACGTCTGGTCATGCAGCCTGCAGTGGCTGCCTCTCCTCTCTCACTCACCCTGTCTTAATTCTCTGTGCACTGCTCCCTCCAGGTGACCACATCCTCCCTCTGACCAGAAGGAGGTGGGGAGCTGGAAGGGAAAGGTTTGGGGCTCAGCAGGTCAGACCGAGTGGAGAGAGCAGGGGAGGGGCAGCGTGGGAACAGGAGGATGAAGTCAAAGCCTGAGCTCCGAACAGTGGGACCTGCAGCCAGGGTTGCCCTTAGGGTTCACAGGGTCAACAAATATTTTTTGTGTGGAGTCTTTTTCTTTAACAAATTAACAATTTGAGCCACATATAGTCAGCCTCTTATATGATCCTGTGACAAAGATGCTATGCTGGCCAGTAGGATTCATTTACTTGCTAGGCCACCATTCTGGAACCATGGCCTGAGCTCTGGGCCCCTGGATGACTCCACAAATATGAATTCTAGCTCCTTGGGGCATTTGGTTAACCCTTTGTATGGAGGAGAGGGTCAGAGAGCTGGGACATGGTCTGGACTTGGGACACCTTACCTGCTGCCCCTGCCCATCCTGGGAGGACTCTTTCTGGCCACTCCTGGTGAGATTTGGGGAGAAATTTGCATGAAAGGCACTTCAAAGCCTGGTGTTCCCATGAAGGGGTTCAGACTGCTTGGGTCCGAGTGCTGTCCGGCTCACAACCTGCCTCCACCACAGACTCCTGGAATGCTGGTGGTCAGACACCTCCCAGTAGGTCAGAGGGACGGGCACTGAATAACCTCAGAAAGGACCCC